CCACACACCCAAACCAAAGGGGAAAAAAAAAGAGGGAGGATTGGTGGAAGTTAAGGGAAGATGAAGGGCAAAGAATAATGTCTGTTTGGGTCCCTAAATTAGATATATTCTGTAAAAACGTATTTTTGAAAGTTTCGGAGTGTCACAAGTTTCACACGTCTTCATTGAAAGTTTGTTTTATTGTAATGCCCAAAATATGGTCGGTTATCGGGTACTGTTATCTCCCTTGACGCGCAAGTGAACGTTGAGCGAGCATAAAGGACACCTTAATCAGTGATGCGAATAACGGTGGTCCGATGCTCGGCCCATATCTTTCTGATGAGTGGATGAAATCACATATTTTTGAAAGAGGACGCAGAATTTTGCTTCTGTTTTCACGTCACATTGTTGAAGTGAAACTTTCATTCATATTCATTACCAGTAAGTGGAAATATAATCACGGCGCAACAGACCTCTCAAAAATAAGAAATTCTCCAAAATATGTTAGCCTAAAACTTTGGATATTAAAAAATATAGAAACGAAATCGATTCGATTGTAGTATATTAATTTAACAGTCGCCATCATTGTCTGAGAGTATTATGTGGAAATTGGAAACACATGTTGATCATCGACGGTCGTCTAAACAATACGCTTTTCTATTACCCAGGAAAAAATTGTCCATTGTAACAGCAACGTGTACTCAAATTACTATCAATTGTGTTTGGGCGCTTTGGTTATTTCGAGAAGATTCATAAATCAATTACTTAGAGACGGAGAGAAAGAAGGGTACAATATGGGAGGATTGAAGAGAAGATGAAAAAATAAATGATAAACGAGAAAAGGCGCGGGGAGATAAAATAGAGCAGAGAAAGAAAGATAGAAAGAAAGAAAGAAAGAAAGAAAGAAAAAGAATAGAAAGAAGGAAAGAAAAGAAGAAGAAAGAAAGAAAGAAAGGAAAGAAAGAAAGAAGGAAAGAAAGAAAGAAAGAAAAAGAAAAGAAAGAAAGAAAGGAAGAAAGAAAAGAAAGAAAGAAAGAAAGAAAAGAAGAAAGAAAGAAAAAACGAAAAGAAGAAAGAAAGAAAAAGAAAGAAAGAAGAAAAAGAAAGAAGAAAAGAAAGGCAAGAAAGAAACGAAAAGAAAGAAGAAGAAAAAGAAAGAAAGAAAGAAAGAAAGCAAAGTAAGGAAGGAGAGAAAGATGAAAGGATAACGAAACGCTCTGCCGACGAATGCAAGTTCTTGTAATCACTCCAATGGCGTTCTGGCGCGCCGAGTCGGTCGCCAGCGGCGCTTACCCAGCGACGGAGCCGCCAGCCGTGGCCGACGGCGGGCCGTGCGCTGCGGGGGAACTCCTCGGCCCTGCGCCGCCAGCGCCACGGGATACACCGTATGCTGTTTACAATGACAATTTTTTCCTGGTAATAGGAAAAGCGTGATGTCAACATGTGTCCAAATTTCGACATAATGCTCTCAGTCAATTGATTGCGACTGTTAAATTAATATACTACATCGAATTGATCTGATGGGACGGGAAAGACATTAAAATTCTTCTGACCTCCTCAAGTGTCCGTTGAGTTTGTAAAGCCGATTAATGTAACTTTATTATCTACGCGGTCTTCTAGAGTTCAGTGGGAAATAGTAATTCAAATTATCGTTTTCCATACTGTCGCGGAAGAAGTATATTCCTTCACGAAGTACATGATGAGAGATAAGACCCAAATCTATAGCTAATTTGCCTTTGAAAATATATTTTATTACATCGAAGCGAATGTTTTGTTAACAATTCTTGCCAAAAACGCTCATTTATTTCTGTATTCAAAATTCAACTTATATATGATTAAACGTAGAAGTCCCAGAATTAAGAAAACGCTCACAATAGCTCATACACAATTTTTAACTGTTTTCACGTCAAAAAATAAAAATAATATAAAAATAAAAAAAAATGAGACCATGAAGTGCTGGAATAATTTTCTAGTACTATTTTCAGAATATTCCAGCTAAAAAATATATTCGTCTTTTAGTATCAAGAGTGAAATCTATGATATTTTATGACAAATAATTTCGATGTTTTTCTAGTCCTTTCTGATGTCTGAGACTCTGATTAATTTTTTTATAGTTTCTGCAACTCTTGGCATTTTGCAATCTGTATGTTACTTTGATAATCGTTTCTATATTTTTTTAATATCAAAGTTTTAGCTTAACATATTTGGAGAATTTCTTATTTTGGGAGGTCTGTTGAGGCGTGAAGTTATATTCCCACTTACTGGTAATAATATGATGAAAGTTTCATTTCTACAATGTGACGTGAAATACAGAAGCAAAATCTGATCCTCTTTCAAAATATTGATTTCATCTACTATCAGGAAGATATGGGCCCTAGCATCGACCACCGTATCGCATCACTGATTAGGGTGTCCTTAATGCCCGCTCCAATGTTCACTTGCGCGTCAAGGGAGATAAAGTTCCCGATAACCGACCATATTTTTGGGCATTATAATAAACAAACTTTCAATGAAGTCGGGATGAAACTTGTGACACTCCAGACCTTCAAAATACTTACAGATATCTCTAATTAGCGGACCCGGCAGACGTTATTCTGCCCGTCATCTCCCTAATTCTTCTTTATCTTTATTTCTCTCTGTCCCTGTCTCAGTCTGTTTGTATCTCTCTCTCCCTCTCATACACATTTAGTTGCAAATTCTGCACGTCTCTGAGCAGGTGGGGTAATATCGAGAAGGGCCGGACCAGCAAAAATGTTACAGAATATTCTAGAAGATCTCATCCTGTAGATTAAGGTGTGAAAAACGTTTCTTTGGCATCAAAATGTTACTTTTTAATGCCCAAGAACACTTTGTTTAGGAGTAATTTAACAATTGAATATATTTAAAAAAAGCATGCCGCGTGTGTTGTGGGTTGCATTTCATACTTGTATTAATATTTTGATATATAGCACCATCTAGTGAATTTTTTTAAATAATTATTCTGCTATTCGGGGCGGACATGAATCCAACAAATAAGAGATAAAACTCTTGTGTTATAAATGCCGAAACTAACCCGACTT